ATCCTAACGTTGATATTAAAGTAGAGATAAAAGAGGAGGATGATGAGGAATGGGTGATGGAGGAGTCAGAGTTTCCAAAGGTTCTCAAAGATCTGTACCAGGACACCATGGTGGAGTCATCCAGCTACAGGAACCCACCAGAGAGATGTCCCCGTCCTCTGTATTCCTGGGATTCCACACAGGAAGGTCACACCATCCCTCACTGTTACAAGGTCGGTGGGACAGAGCATCTAGAACATGAACTCATTGAGGTGAGGTGTTGATTTTTTTTAAATGTTATGTCACAATATTGAAGTTTATTTTCTACATATGACCTCTTCTATAAATTTCTTGGTTTAGGGTGAAGATCTGATAGATATAAAAGTTGAGATTAAAGCAGAAGAAGAAGAAGAAGAGACGTATGTGAGGGATGATCAGCAGTCTATGGAGGAGGATGGAATAACGGGGACATTTATAGAGGAGGACACTCCTACAGAGATCAGCACAGGTGGGTCATGAACACTAAATCCATTCCTCCACCCATCTGGTCCAGATTAGGGCAAGGTCTCATGTGCCTGGGATTGAACTTGGGTCCTTCTGTCTTTGAGCTGCGGCTCTGTTCACTCTGCCACTGGGGAGACCTGAGTCTTGCAGTATCCATCTTGTTTAGAATCTCTGCTACTAGCACTCTTTAGCCCATGGGTGCTCAACCTGTGGCCCTCCAGGTGTTGCGGAACTACAAATCCCATGAGGTATTGCAAGGCTGACAGTTACAAGCATGACTCCCAAACATAGAGGCATGATGAGACTTGTGGTTGAGCAACAGCTTGAGGACCACAGGTTGAGCACCCATGCTCTAGCCCTACCTGTCCTCCAGCAATTGCAATCAATCCTCAATCCCATCATCTTAAATGACAAGTCTTCCTGTGTACTGGGCCTGTTTGTTGGATCTCCCTGGTTCTGCTATACTGATGAGCTTCTGGACTTAGACCTCTGCCTGATTCTTGGGTTACTCTGCCAAACTGTGTATGACCCTGCCTGTCCCCAACCACCCTTCTGGATTCTGACTCTGTACCTTGCTGTCAAGATTTGTTGCTGACCCGGCCGGCCTGACTATGCTGATGCCTCAACCCCCAGCTCCACTCTGAACTAAACCTACCAAAGGGCCACAAAGACAGTGGACCCAGTTGAGGTGGTTAGGGTTCTTTTGCATCAGGAATATTTGCCTGATACTCATGAAATGCCTCTTTGTTCTCTGGATGTTAAACTGGATGTACTGACTGCTGTGATAAAATCCTTGCGGCCGGCATCCTGTCAATTTGGACTCCTGCTCCTGGTCCAGCCCAAGCCGCCTCTTTAGTGCTTCCTGAACTCCCTCTGCCCAGGGGCGGACTGACAACTCATGGGGCCCCCGAGCAATAGGGGATCATGGGGCCCCTGTGTCTTTGCCCACACTCAAAAAAGCCTATGCAAGGTACCAGGGGCCCCCTACTGACCCCGGGCCCTCGGGCAATGCCCGAGCGCCTCAATGGTCAGTCTTCCCCTGACTTTGCCTGAAAAGTTTGGAGGTGATACTGAAGATTGCAGAGGCTTTCTGAACATTTGCTGCTTGCACTCTCGCACTAAAGCTGGCCATACACGTGTAGATTTTCAGATGAAAATATTCGTACGAAAATTCTTTGAACATTCTGTGAATGGACGAATGTCGTTCAAAATTGTCTTCTGCTTTTAACCTTCCGGTTTCAAATGAATGTCATTTCTGAATGATAACCACATATGCTGGCCGAAAATTCATTTGATCAAGTTTTCCTTCCTGCCCCTTTGAATTTTCCCGTTGCTGCAGTCGAAAACAAACATCAATTTGACCCCCACTAATGATTAGAAAATCAAACGAATATTCTTGAATGAAAATCTATACGTGTGTGACCGGCTTTACCTTGAGACATTCAGCACAGCCTCTGCAGAGTGACTTTCATCATTTCTTTGTTAAAGGGAAGGCACGGGCATGGGTCTTCCTGCCCTTGATCTATCCATTAAATGCATGTGCCTCTATTATGGGGGCTCATAAATTTTAGAGTTAGGACCACAGATGATCAGGGTGGTGTCGTGGCTCTGTGGCTTACGTATGTATTTGCAAATGTGTGCTAACTAAACCCTGTTATAAACGCATACTGTTAGACAGGTTAATTCGGTTGTTAGCAAGCTGGCTGGCAAGTTGTCCAAGGTTCTCTCCCCACTTTTTTTCACTATGTGATGCCTGTTTATGTGTCCTTGCTTCATAAGCCAGTTATAGACTTGGGCGGGTGGCCACTTTTATGCATGGGTCTCTCCTTACCTGGAACGCAACGATCCTTTGCTGCAGAATGCGGATGTTACGCTTCTGTTCACATCGATCCAGTGCCGGGTTTTGTCTCCTGTCCGAGTTGCTTGGGCTCCTGCCTATCCGCCTTGAACCTAGGTATTATTAAGCCTTTAGGCTGCGTGTGTTAGTGTTCGAGCAACGTGTAGAAGCTGGGCCCCTCTGAATCCTGTAGTGTTCACCACCGTTTCAGTATTCCCATACTCTGTGTGTTGTTTGATAGTTACATAGTTAGTCTGGCTGAAAAAAAACAAAAAGTCCATCCAGTTCAACCATTTAAAAAAAAAAAAAAAAAAGGTATAATCCTACACCCCCAGTTGATCCAGAGGAAGGCAAAAAACCCCTGCAAAGCATGAACCAATTTGCTCCTGCTGGGTAAAAATTCCTTCCTGATCACCTGAGACATGTACTTTGGGTCTTCTGCCCCATGCTAGGAACTAGCAAGATCTGTGACAGAACAATTCTCCCGGAGCTACTTTGCTGGCTGTGCCGGGTGGAGGGATATGTCTGTATAGTCTCAGACCCAAGTCACTGAGTGCAGTCTCAGGAGATGGGAGGCAGCGGTGTGGGATCTCTGCAACTTGTCTACAATAAACATTTAAGCTTCCACTGATTACTGAATACCAATATTATAAGTCCTAACCTTTACATATAATTTATATTGTACATTACATAATCCTGACCCCTACACTGTATACTCTGTTGTACATTACATACTTCCGGCCTCTGCACTATTCTGTTGTACATTACATACTCCTGACCCCTGTACTATATACTCTGTTGTACATTCCATACTCCTGACCCCTGCACTATATACTCTATGTTGTACATTACATACTCCTGACCCCTGCACTATATACTCTATGTTGTACATTACATACTCCTGACCCCTGCACTATATACTCTATGTTGTATATTACATACCCCTGACCCCTGCACTATATACTCTCTATGTTGTACATTACATACTCCTGACCCCCGCACTATATACCCTGTTGTACATTACATACTCCTGACCCCCGTACTATATACTCTGTTGTACATTACATACTCCTGACCCCCGTACTATATACTCTGTTGTACATTACATACTCCTGACCCCCGTACTATATACTCTGTTGTACATTACATACTCCTGACCCCCGTACTATATACTCTGTTGTACATTACATACTCCTGACCCCCCGTATTATATACTCTGTTGTACATGACATAATCCTTTATACCGACCTGTTGAATCTTTTACAAAATTTTGTATGTTTCATAGTCATGAGTTGTGTACCCCACCATCTACCCACTGCTATATATAATGTATTTTCTTTTGTTACACCCATTTCCTACCAACTGGACATTTTATATCGGATGATGTGATTGGAGCACAGACTTTTACATGGTGATAATAATGTGATAATATCCTCCAACTTTGGACCCTTAAACAGAAAGACTACTTAGAGTCCTGACTCTTAATTTATATTGCACAATCCTGACCCCCACACATTATACTTGTATTTTGTATGTTACATAGTCCTGAACCCTGCACCATATACTCTGTCATATAATGCATACTCCTGACCCCTGCACTATATACATTTGTCATATGTTAGAGTAATAACCCCTGCACATACATACATATGTTGTAAATTACATAGTCCTGAACACTGAACTAAATATTTGATGTTGTACATTACATTGGCCTGACCCCTGCACTATATTCTTTGTTGTACATACATAGTCCTGACCCCTGCACATTATACTGTATGTTGTACATTATATAGTCCTGAACCCTGCACTATATATTTGATTTGTACATTACATTGTCCTGACCTCTGCACTATATTCTCTGTGTTGTACATATATACTCTGTTGTATAATCCATATTTCGGACCCCTGCACTATATACTCTAGGTTATACTTTACATACTCCTGACCCCTGCACTATGTACTACTCTTGTGTAATACATACTCCTGACCCCTGCACTATACACTCTGTTGTACATTACATAATTCTGACACTGTTTAGTCCAAACTTTTGTATGCGATATAATAAGTTGTACATTGCATAAGCTTTCTTTTGCAACTATTTCCTACCAGCTGGACATTTTATATCGGATGATGTGATTGGAGCACAGACTTTTACATGGTGATAATAATGTGATAACATCCTCCAACTTTGGACCCTTAAACAGAAAGTGATAATGAGGGAGGAGTCAATACCCCAATGATGGTGGTCTTCAGGATCAGTCCAGTTTTCATCTTGGTTGTTCTCCCCCCATCCTCACTCTCTGACCTCTGGTGGGGCTCAGCCCCGCTGTTCTTCATGACTAAATCATGGACTAAATAAGGAAGTGCAGTACTTCTTGTGTTGGGAAGATGGCGATGAGTGATAGAGGGGGTGGGGACCCTCGTCCTATAATCCCCTCATCACTGTCCCTCCTATAAAAGACAGTTCTGGTTGTTTCCTCACTCTCTGACTAAGGTCCATGAATAAAGAAATGACCTGGTAGGAGATCAGAGGAGCCATTTCCTAGTTCCCTTGAGGGTGGAATTGTAAGCTCCTCAGAGACCAAGCTGCCTGATGTGGGCGGAGTCCTGGTTTGGGGGAACCAATCAGCTCCTGTCTAGTAATCCTCTTTGTCTTTGTATTTTAGTCCATGGCCGGGAGATGAGGAAAACCTCCGAGGATTGTCTCACTTTGTCTCCAGACTGGAAAGTAGAAGATGAGGACATTACACAGTATAGTCCAGGAGAAAACCCGGCTCCCTCCAATGTGCATCCAGCACCACACAGTGTACATGGACCATCTGATTCCTCGTATCCTGAGGAACCTGAGACTGTGCGGGACCGGGCCGGCCTTCCAGCAGAGAAGAAGTTCTCCTGTCCTGAGTGCGGGAAGAGTTTCCGTTTTTTATCCAATCTTATAGTGCATAAAAGATCTCACACGGGGGAAAAACCATATTCCTGTCTCAAGTGCGGAAAATGTTTTTCACAAAAGTCCAATATTCAGATACATCAGAGGCTTCACACAGGTGAGAAGCCGTTTTCCTGTCCTGAGTGCGGGAAATGTTTTTCAGATCAGTCCCATCTTTACATACATAAGAGATCTCACACAGGGGAAAAAAAAACCATATTCCTGTCCTGAGTGCGGAAAATGTTTTTCACAAAAAGTCCAATCTTGAGATACATCAGAGGCTGCACACAGGTGAGAAACCATATTCCTGTCTTGTGTGCGGGAAATGTTTTGTAAATAAATCACATCTTGTCACACATCAAAGACTTCACACAGGGGAAAAACCGTACTCCTGTCGTGAGTGCGGAAAATGTTTTTCAGACAAGTCCTTTTATCACAGACACCAAAGATTGCACACGAGTGAGAATCTGTATTCCTGTTCTGAGTGCGGGAAATGTTTTTTTTACAGAAGTCACATCTTTACACACATCAGAGGTCACACACGGGGGAGAAGCCGTATTCCTGCCCTGAGTGCGGGAAATGTTTTTCACAGAGGTCCAATCTTTACAGACATCAGAGACTGCACACGGGGAAGAAGACACTTTCCTGTCCTGAGTGAGGGGAATGTTCCTCACTGAAGTCCTGTCTTCCTGTACATCAGGGGTCCCACACAACCCTGGAGGTGTATTAGTGCCTTGAGTGCGGGAAATGTCTTCTAGATGAATGTTGCTGGACATCCCAGCTCTCATGTGGGGAAGAAGCACACCCTGATATACACCTCAGATATACTTCATGGCTGATCTTCATCATGGAAGAGACTGTTCATAAGGAGATCAGAGGTCACCAAAGACATGGATGAAGTGTGGGACCGGGTTGGTCATTGATAGCAGGAGGAGAATAAAAATGGAGTCATCACCTTTCATTGGCTGAGTATATTTTGTGGTGGAAGCTTTTGCAAACGCTACTTTTTAAAAAGCAAATTGTTGAACACATTTTCCCAGCCATGACTAATCTTGGCCGTATTTCATGTAGTGATTTCCTATGATCATCAGCTCCATCTAGTGGCAACAATGAGGCACTGCAGTATTATTACCGCATTATGGACACTAGATGGACTTACACTCTTGCATTGTTAGGCACCTCCCCTGGTCGCCGGAGCACTACATAGTGGAAGTTAGTGACCGGCCCAACACCCCCGTTTGGTTTGCGGTCGAACATTTAAACCTAATGAAAGTTCCACCGCAAACTTCGATCAGAGGGGACAATTCACTAATCGGTATCTTACCGCATCTGAGTATGAAGACACCGCACAGCTACTCAAACGTTTCTTTAATGTTTCAGCTGTCGGTTGGGTTCCCCGCTGACAGCTGAATGTAAAAAGAATTGCTGGTATCGCCTGGGAATTAGAAAAAAAAAATAAAAATGTGGGGTCCCCCCATCCATACCAAGCCCTTCGGGTCTGGTACGAATTTTGAGGGGAACCCTCACACCAAAATGTAAGAAAAAAATGGCGTTGGGGCTCCCCCTCAAAATTCATACCAAACCCTTACCCGGCAGGTCAGGAAAGGGGGGGGGGCAGTGAGTGCCCCCCCACCTGAACCATACCAGGCCACATGCTCTTAACATGGGGAGGGTACTTTGGGGTGGGGGGTCCCCCCTCCCAAAGCACCTTGTCCCTGTGTTGATGGGAACAAGGGCCTCTTCTGCACAACCCTGGCCAGTGGTTGTGGGGGCCTGCAGGTGGGGGGGCTTATCAGAATCTGGAAGCCCCCTTTAACAAGGGGGCCCCCAGATCCCAGCCCCCCCATGTGAATGAGTATGGGGTACATGGTACTGCTACTTATTTCCAAAAACAAAAAGTGCAGTGTAAAAAATGACAGGAGACCGTCTCTGACACCTCCTTTAACCTCTTGCCCTCCAGAGGATTTACCCCCCTTAATGACCACGCCTCTTTTTGCTACTCTCGGCGCTGCACTAATTCAACTGATAATTGCGCGGTCATGCAATGCTGCACCCAAACGAAATTTACGTCCTTTTTTTCACACAAATAGAGCTTTCTTTCGGTGGTATTTGATCACCTGTGCGCTTTTTATTTTTCACGCTATAAACAAAAAAAAGCCAAATATTTTGAAGAAAAACAATATTTTTTTTATTTTCAGCTATAAAAAATATATAGTAAAACTCAAAGTTGGTTATAAATTTAGGCCAAAATGTATTCTGCTCCATGTTTTTGGTAAAAAAAATCCCAATAAGTGTATATTGATTGCTTTGTGTGAAGTTATAGCGTCTACAATCTATGGTATAGATACTGCAATTTACGCCATTTTTCTGCTATACAGCGCTGCGCTAGTTTAACGGACAATTGCGCGGTCATGCAATACGGTACATAAATGAAATTTACATCCTTTTTTTCCCCACAAATTGAGCTTTCTGTTGGTGGTATTTGATCGCCGGTGCGGTTTTTATTTTTTGTGCTATAAAAAAAAAGGCTGAGAATTTTGAGGAAAAAAAACCAATATTTTTGGACTTTTTGCTATTAAACATGTCCAGTAAAAAAAAATTTAAAAAATCAAATTTAGTCATAAATTTCTGTCAAAATGCATTCTGCGACATGTCTTTGCTAAAAAAAAACTCAATACGTGTAAATTAATTGGTTTACGTGAAAGTTATAGCGTTTACAAATGGCGGGAAAGATACTGGGATTTTTAGGGTTTTTTTTTATACTAATAATGGCGGCGATCAGCAACTTATGGCGACGATCAGTGACTTATGGCGGCGATCAGCGACTTATGGCAGGACTGCGGCGGACATTCTGACATTGGGGGGGTACTGACTTGGGGTCACTGACATCCCCAGTGACACCAATACAGTGATCAGTGCAAAAAAAAAAACCACTGACACTGTACTAATGGCAATGGAGAGGAAGGGGTTAACATTATTATTCAGGGAAAGGGTTAACTGTGTGAGGGGAGTGTTTTACTAGGGGGGCGGGGTGTGTACTGCAGGGAACACCGCTGAGCGGGAGAGAGAAACTCTTCTGTCCCGATCAGCGTGTCCTGGAGCTGTCAGGGAACTGACAGAAAGCACAGCTACTGCAGCTGTGCTCTCTGTCAGCGATTGCCGCCGATCGCCGGGACATAGCCGTAACGACCTTGGAAACCCATTCCATGAAGCTCTCTACGCACTGTTGTTGTGCTCATCTGAAGGCCACACCAAGTTTGGAGGTCTTTAGCTATTAACTCTGCAGACAGTTGTCGACTTCTGCGCACTGTGCGCTTCAGCATGCGATGACCCCGCCCTGTCATGTGACGTGGCCTACCACTTGGTGGCTGAGTTGCTGTTGTTCCCAGTTGCTTCCACTTTGTTATAATCCCACTAACAGTTGAGCGTGGAATATTTAGTAGCCAGGAAATGTCACGGATGGACTTATTGCACAGGTGACAACCTATCACGGACCATGCTTGGAGTCACTGAGCTCCTGAGAGCGACCCATTCTTTCACCAATGTTTGTAGAAGCAGTCTGCATGCCTAGGGGCTTGATTGTATACACCTGTGGCCATGGAGGGGATTGGAACACCCGAATCACATGATTGGGAGGGCGGGCCCAATACTTTTGTTAATAGATTTTACAGGTTAACCAAAAATCCTATTTTCTCAAGGAACGCCTAACAAATACCTGTCTGTGATACTTTGTTATTTGTAATAACCTCCACATTTTCAGGATAAGCTTTCTTGTTTTAGTTCTTAGAGGAAATATTTGAACTAAGAATGATAATTCTATTGGACACAAAAGATAATGGACTAAATGTGGAGCTGGCTTTTATTAAATCATTATCCTACAGTTTTACGACCCTCACCTCTGTAACTGTTAATCTCTCTCAGGGGCGGACTGACCATTTGGAAACTTGGGCACTGCCTGAGGGCCCGGGGTCAGTAGGGGGCCCCTGGTACCTTTTTCATAGCCTGGCGGGCCTTGTAAATGAGTGATGACCAGGAGCAGACTGACCATTTGAAAACTCGGGCACTGCCCGAGGGCCCGGGGTCAGTAGGGGGCCCTATGAAATGCCCCTGGTACCTTTTTCATAGGCTTTTTTTGAGTTTGGGCAAGGACACAGGGGCCCCATGATCCCCTATTGCCCGGGGGCCCTGTGAGTTGTCAGTGTGCCCCTGCTCCCACTCCTCGCTTCCTGCCTTATCTTTCCAACTATTCAAGTTTAACCACTTCAGGTCCAGAAGGTTTACCCCCTTCATGACCAGGACATTTTTTGCTATTTTATTGTGCTAATTTAACTTGTAATTTCACAGTCATGCAACACTGTACCCAAATGAAATTTATATATTTTTTTTTGCACACACAGCTTTCTTTTGGTGGTAATCTTAGTTTTTATTCATTTTTGATTATATAAATGTAAAAAGACCAAAAATAAAAAAACAAACAAATTACATTTTACCTTCTGCTCTAAAACATATCCAATAAAAAAATAAAAAAAATGTTAATTTCTTCATACATTTTGGCCAAAATGTATTCTGCTACATGTCTTTGGTAAAGAAAAAAAATCCCAATAAGTGTATTTTGATTGGTTTGCATAAAAGTCAGAGTGTCTACAAACTATGGTTTATCTACTGCATTTTTTAAAATATACAGTCGTACCTCAGTTTACGAATTTAATGCGTTCCCAGGGACGTTTTGCATTGCGAAAAAATCGTAAACTGAAACGCGGTTTCCCAAAGGAAATGCATTGAAAACCAATTAATCCGTTCCGGAGGTCAGAAAAAAGTTTTAAAAAAGTCTTTTATCTGTTCAAAACTCTTTATAAAAGTGCACTTTAAAGGCATAAATACTGTACAGGGACATGATTAAAAATTAATTTGTTAATGCATTGAAAACCAATTGATACCGTTCCGAAGGTCTGAAAAAAGTTTAAAAAAGTCTTTTATCTGTTCAAAACTCTTTATGAAGTGCACTTTAAAGGCATAAATACTGTACAGGACATGATTAAAAATTAATTTGTTAATGCATTGAAAAACAATTGATCCGTTCCGGAGGTCAGAAAAAAAGTAAAAAAAAAAGTCTTTTATCTGTTCAAAACTCTTTATACAGTGCACTTTAAAGGCATAAATACTGTACAGGGACATGATTAAAAAATTTCCAGAATGGCTCCAAAACTGGATGCAAGATGCGCTCAAACACCTCCACACTCGACGCCACGTGCTACCCACAGACTCCAGCATGCACGGGGCGGGTGGTGGCGTCGCTATAAAACCTCCCAGGCGCAATGCATCCTGGGAAAATTGGTTTGTTTTGCAAAAAAAATTTGTAAACCAAGGCATTATTTTCAATGGACTTTAATTACGTTAACCGAGGCGTTCGTAAACCGAGGTACGCCTGTAGTAATAATGGTAGTGATCAGAAACTTGTGATGAGGCGGCAGACAATCTGACACTAACTGGCACTGGGTGGGAACTGACTACTTGTCACTGGCATCACCAGTAAGACTAATGCAGTGATCAGTGATAATACTCTGTCACTGTACTAATGACACTGGCTGGAAAGGGGTTATCATCTCAGGTAATCAAGGGGTTAAGTCCG